TGGGTTTGACTTGAGCAATGCCTTTATTTTGTCATCATCAACCTTGGAGGGCCTCCCTGACTGAGGAGCATCATTGAGATCAAAATCACCAGCACGGAGTTTAATGAACCATCGTTGCCACTGACGTTCTTGTAGAGCATTGTCACCGTAAACTTTATGCAACTTTTTACAAGCTTGCGCATTCTTCTGTTTATGGAAGTAAAATATGGCAAAAATGCACAATTTGGTCTTCTATCTTCCACTTGTTGTAAAATCTCCAAAACTCAATGAAATCGCTCAATTTTTTTTTAGAATGGAGCTAGAACTGTCAGCTGTCAAATGGCATAGCAACAACATAGATGCGAATGACTCTAGTACTTCCAAAATGAACTAGTGCCATCTGTTGCAAACATGCGTCATGACTTTTCCTAAGAATTTATTTATTATATATAAATCAATGTTAAGATAATTTGCTTTTAAAAATATAAACTATAGAAAATTAAAGCTATGACAGTTGTGATCTAATGATGATTCTATGTTTGTTTTTATTTTCAGCTTGACAGTGGAACATTATACAGCGAAGAGATAATCTTTGGCAAGTTTTTGTAGAAAAATGTTTCAGTGCCTAGTCTGAAAAATAACAGTTTCAGTTCTTTGGAACTCTAAAATATATTTTCCTCAAATCGGTTTTCTTCATTTTCATAATGAAGTACTTCGCTATGTAGCTGTGTATATATTACTACAGTTATAGGAAGTTTCAGTCAAGTCCATCTAAAGGACCAACCTGCCTTATACATCTCAAGGAATTCAGCTGATGAAATAATTTGAACTAATCAAGGAATAAAATTCTAATGTTCTAGAGACTTTATCTACACATATTATATGTTATATGCTGGACTATATTATGAAAATGTTTTCAAGAAATCAGTTAATATGTAGATCAGTGTTTCTTACAGGTAAAATGCTAAAATAAGCTGCCTATAATAGGTATGGATTCTGTTTTTGAGTTTCATAGAATATTGCAAATTAACAACACAAGAAATGTTTATGTAACAAGTATGTTCATGCAAATTTGGTGGGACTTGAGAAAGAATATTTGGGAAAAGACCTGGTTCACTTACACTACATATGCTGTATTATCCTTTCATAGCATTAGGTGCCTTGTATTTTAAATCTGTGACAAACCATGACAAATTTTTAAAGGGGAAGTATTGTAAAATGAAGAGTTGTGTATTTCTAAAGGTTGTATTGCTGTAAATTTAATCGATAAAGCTCTGCTTAGAGTTTTGAAGAAATATTCTCTCTTTAATTAAGACATTTTCATAATGGAATGATTTAAATTGAAGTGACAGAGTATTATTACAATAAAATGTTTATA